GATTGGATGTAGGGGAGAGGAAACGAGTTCCACTGACTTGATGGACCATCCCGCTGAAACCGAATTGAGGAGGGGAAAAAAAAACGGGGGGGAAAAAAACGAGAAAAAAAAAAAACGTTTCTTCTTTAATTTTCGAAGACGACAACGTGCATTCTTCTTTAATTTTCGAAGACGACAACGTGCATTCTTCTTTAATTTTCGAAGACGACAACGTGCATGTCCACCATAGCCTGTACTATGTCTCTTCGCAGAGCGATGGCTTGAGACATGCACATTGCACAGCAACAAACAAGAACATAGGGAAAAAAAAACAAGAAGAAAAAAAAAAACACAAAACTTCTGCCAGGCGGCATTGATTTCTCCTTCCTCTGCGGCGAATGGGAGTATGGCGACAACGCGCGCCCACAGGTGCATGGCATTTCCGCAGCAAGAGGGAAACGGTCATGTCTGTCGAACTTGATGGCGGCGCCGTTTCCTTGAAGGTGCAATCTCACCGCCGGGATGTGAAATCTTCCCGCTTCTCCAACATGTGTCACATACGGTGAACGGAGCAGGTGCGATTCACCGATGAACGTGGACAGTATTCGAGACTGGGTGCGGTGGGAGCACAGAAACAAGGAAGTGGGGAGAGGCCCTGAAACCGCGCAGAGGGGAGCGGAGGGCCTGACTAATCTCGCGGAGGGCAAGACTATTCGCATGCGGGAACCGGGGGAGAAACTGCGGAGGAGGGCGGAAGGGCAGCGCAAGGGGGTACGGAACTCACGTGGGGGCGGAAGGGACTCCGCCACTACGTACAAACCTGTTACAGGGGGGAGAAACTGCGGAGGAGGGCGGAAGGGCAGCGCAAGGGGGTACGGAACTCACCTGGGGGCGGAAGGGACTCCGCCACTACGTACAAACCTGTTACAGACGGGCATTTTGCTGCGCATGACTCCAAAAATGATACAGAGGCTGTGTGACTGTCCCGTCGGCATCTGAACACAGCAAAGTTGGACTGTAGTATGCACGAATTTTCGTTTTCTGGCCTGCGGAGTTTTTTTTTTTTTTTTTTTTTTTCCAAAAATGAACTGCGAATTTGCGAGGACCTCTAGAGGTCCTCGCAATTTGCTGAACCCCGCGGCCCACCAGGCCGCTGACAATTGCTACACTGTTTGTGATTTTGTTGGGGGTGGGGGGAAAGTGTGACTGCAAAACATCATCAGATTTTGCGAATTTGAGAATTAGACCCCTAGTGTGAGTATGCCCTTAGAGTTTGAAAATGCGTTCGAAACATCGTTTCTGCAGTCCAGTCAGGGCACGGGTTTGAAATGCAGTTGAAACTCAGGTCCGCAGAATAGTTGGGGGGGGGAGTTCAAAATCGCAGTCCAGTCAGGCATATGGCCATGTTTTTTTTTTTTTTTTTTTTGTTTAAAGAGAGTGACTCTGCTAGTTGGTGTAAATGCGAACAATATATCAGCTCTAGAAACTAGTAGAAAGGACTTGGTTGGTCTGCTCGGAACCTGCATTCACACATGCCTGAGGAGTCCACAGCCTCAGGCAGGGTGTGTGGACTCAACCTTTTGCTTGTCAATAGGGCGCTGTTTTTGGTATGATGTTGGTAGTGCTGCAAGATGTAGATTGTTGGTAATGGACTCCGAGAAAGTTTTCACACTGTGNTTTTTTTCGTGCGTCGCGCGGCTGGCAAAAAAAACAAAACAAAAAACAAAACAAAACAAAACAAAACAAAACAAAAAAAAAAACGGCCCCATGGTTGGGCCATGGCATCTCGGCCACACCCCAGATGGGCCACGGCTGAGATGTCTCGGCCACAGCTGAGATTAAACCACCCCTACCTTTCACAGGCAAACGCGAACTCTCAAAAGTAGGACTCGTGCCAGGGATGGAGGCCCAAAAAAAAAAGGAAAAGAAAAAGTTGAAAAGAAAAAGAAAAGAAACGAGGAGCTCTCCCCACGAGGTTACACAAGTCCTTTGAGGAATGTATCTGGTCCTCACATGGCCAGAATGTGAGGACCGTGAGACGTGTCTTTTTTTTTTGTTTGCTGTTTGTTCTGAGGTGGTTGTAGCGCCCTGCCAGCCAGGCAGGGCGGATTCCACGCGAGGCAGCTAACTGCCTCGCTTCATTTTCGGTTCCAGACAAGTACTGTAGCATCCTGTATCGGACCGCAATCACAGCATAAGGGATGCTGTTTTTCCTCTTTTTTTTTTCAACTGCTGTTCGTCGATAGACGAGGGACCTGACTGAAGGCAGCCCGAGTTTGAACTGGATTTCAAACTCGGGCCCTGACTGAAGTGCCAAAACGCAGTTTGAAATGCATTTACAAACTGTTTTCGTGACTGCGCCGTAGTTACCCCCAAAAAAAAAGAAACAATAGTCCAGAAGACAAAATCTGGCGCAAACCCTTGACTACATCCGTTAAAATTGGAAGGATATAGAGGAGATTAGCATGGCCCCTGCGCA